GTTAGTTTTAAACGTCAAGCGAACTTTCTACCTGGTGTCGTCTTCCATGAGTTCTCTAAATCATAGCGGGACCAGCGGTTGAGAATTTTACTGATTCCTTTTGCTGGTGTCTGCTGCAATATTTTGAGCTGCTGGGCTTGGTTTCTTTTACAAAAGTCCACGTTTTAAAGGATAATAATTTAAAGCAGAGCAGCCAGGGTAAATTTTAAACTTTCGTTAGATTGCATTTGAATGACTTGATTTAATATAGAAGAGCACATGCCTCCCACAAGGGCCAGGGATTTAGTTCAGTGTTTCTGGCGTCTGCCTCGCCAAGTACGAGGACCCGAGTTCGATTCCCTGGTACCAAAATTCGTCCCCAGCTCTCAGCCACCGGAAGCGGAAGCAGGCGCTCGAAACTTCCGCGAGCGCGGGCCGGGGTCCTGAGTGTTTCCATGGCTTGGGGGCGGGGAAGGTCTGCAGGTCACGTGACTGGCACATTCCCATGGCATCGGCCCTTTGGGTCATCAGTCATGGGGATAAAACTAAATTACCCAGTGGGTAAAAAGGAATGTTAAATAAGATGTTGCCTGTAGGATTGGTACTGAGGATCAGACTCGGAGACTGTACTTGTGAGGCAGGCGGTGGAACCGCTGAGCTAAATCCGGGCCCCAAACCGTTTATTTTTATTAGTACATGTGTGTAGTACATGTTTGCATTCCTTGCATGGAGGTGGTGCACGACACACGTACACATGTACATAACACATCTTAATTCCTGTTTTCATCTTCTTTTCTTCCCCTCCCTTCCTTCATGCCTTAATCCCTTACCGCTTTGAGAAAGATCTACCATATCTCCCTACTTCCCAGTATCTATCTTTAATTTTCGGTTTCTGTATAAGAGAAACCATGGGATACTTAAACTTGTGAGTCTGATTTATTTCACTTAACATTATGGTTTCAAGGTGCATCCATTTTCCTATAAACAACTCAAAGTCTATCCTTCATGACAGAGTAATACTCCATACCACGTTCGTCCATTCATCCATTGATGGACACGAAGGCCACTTCTAAGATTTAGCTATTGTGGGTTGTGCTGCTGTAACGTCAGGGGTGCCTGGATCACTGCATTGTGATGTCTAGTGAGAAGATACCTAGAAGGGAAATAGCTAGTTGAGTTTCTAGTTTTAGTTTTCTGGCACATTTCTGAAGTGATTGTACTGGTTTAGATTCCTGCTGACAAGATAGCTTTGCCAGTGGTCATTATTATCAGATTTCTTGACAATGGCCATTCTTCCTGGAGTAAAATGGAATCTCAGTGTTTTATTTATTTATTTGGGACCAGGGATCGAAATTGGGTCCTTCCGCTTGCACGGCAGGCAGCAGAACCTCTGAGCTAAATCCCCGGCCCTTTGGTGGTATTTGAATGTGCATTTCTCTACTGGCCAGTGATGTTAAGTGTCTTGGGTCATTATTGGCCTCCTGTACTTCTCCTGAGAAGGGTCTGTTCATTTCACTTGCCCCTTTTCTGATTGGGTCTTTTAATCTGTTTGCGTTATTTCTGTAGTCCAGACGTGAGTCCTCTGTCTGAGGAATCACTGGCAGACCTGTCTCCTGTTCTGCAGGCTTCTCTCCACTGTCTTGGCTGTTTCTGTGCAGAAGCTTTTTCGTTTGATATGATCCCGTTTGTTGATTCTTAGTACTGTTTGCAAGAATACATTTTTATCTCCTCTGTGGTTCTGCATGAGAGCCTTGGTGTGGGAGCGGCCGTGGGCGACTGGATGAAGGCGACAGGGACAGGACGGGACAGGGACGGGATGGGGCAGCCCCTGCTGACGAGGGAGGAATTGTGGGTGCAGGGTCTCCTCTTGCCCTCTCCCTCAGGTAGCTTGTCCTTCTCTGCTCTGATGGGCCCCAAACAGAATTGTTTAGTCTCAGTCTTTTGCCAGATGCCTGTCCTTAAGTCGCGACCCGTCACACTGCGGCAGAAGGGGTCCGGGCCATGGCAGGCTGCCCCCCCACATGTCCTGCGCCCCGAGATGCTGAGCAGCGCCCCAGGCCTCCACCTCCTGCCAGCAGCACCCTCTTCCGCTTGTGCCAACCAAAGGCGTTGCCCAGTGTCCCCCAGGGGGCGCTGCCCCAGGGTTGAGGACTTTGGAGGGTGCAGCTGAGAGAGGCAGGGTGCACCCACAAAGGCTGGCGCGGGCCGAGGTGGGTGGGGCTGCTTTGCGAGGGGACCCCCGTGCTCCACTTGAGCCGGTCTGGCAGGGTGGTTCCCGAAGGGGCGCCCCGCACCGCCATCCTGGGGGTTGTGCGACTTGAAGCCACGCTTCTTGAGGGTGGAGGAAGTTGAGCATCTTTTCAAAGGCTTCACTTTTGTAATGTGAGGAAAACCGGACATGTCTGCCTATGTGTGTGCACATGTGTAAAAAGGGGGAGTTGTGAACATAGAAACACGAGCATAGTGTGAAGAGTGAGCGTGGCGGTGCACACCTGTAATCTCAGTACTCTGGGAGGCTGCGGCACGAAGAACGAAAGTTCAAGTCCCAACTGAGTGGTTTAGGAGAGCCTGTCCCAACCAAACAGGGCTGGGGATATAGTAGCTCATTGCAAAGGCCCTGGGTTCAATCCTCAGTGCTGAAAAAAAAAGTGAATTAGAAGAATTGTAGGGGGGATCCTGGGTCCATCCAGCTGCTCCCGGGACCAGGCCAGCACCCCAGATGGGCAGCCCTTAATCTCCCAAGCATTCACGGGAGAGGGGCGCCTTCACACCTTAGGGGCCCTGGGTCCCCTTCTTGCATTGCTTGCGTCCACGGAGCCGCGAGGAGCCGCTAGGTGGCGCTGAACCCTGAGGTTGAGGGACTGTGGCACTTGCCACCCCCCTCCCCCAGGGCTGTGGGGACCTGCTGGGCCCTTGCTTGGCCGCCCAGCGCCAAGGCTCACAGGTGCTGCTGCAGGAGGTATCTTATGTACATGGAAATGTCACCAGGGACACGGTCCTTGCAGGTCAAGGTGGGAAAGCAGCAGTCCCCTCCCCCGCCCATCGCCAGGTGCCGGGTCCCACCTTCATGGCTCAGGTAGTGGTGGCACTCGCTGTTGTCACTGCTGCTTTTTAGTGGCTTATTCTTGATAATGCTTGAAGATGAGGGGCAGGACCTCGTCTCCCCTCTTCTGGGTCACATAGGGCACCCCAACAGCTTCCCACGGAAAGTGAGAGCCAGGCCTGGCTGAGTGACTAGGCCCCGCCCTGGGGGGCACCCAGGTGGCCCCGAGTCATTCCGAGAGGGCCCTTCTGTCGACACACGGTTCTCATCATCCTGTAGCCTCTGGCCCGGGGTGGTGGCCCCCAGGGCAGTGCCCAGGCCAAGGGCAGGACAGGGCGTGCAGAAGACCCCCAGCCGGGCCCTCTGCCTGATGACCAGGCCCCACGGATGTTCTGGGTGTAGAGGAGAAGGCAGCTCAGACCTTGCTGGTAACGCAGGACCCAAGCTTTCGGTCTTTAGAAGGAGATTGTCCTCATGTGGCCGTGCTGGTAACACTCAAGCACTGGGTAGGAAACCTGAGCCTCTACTCATAGTCTGTGAATTTCCAGATCTCTTCCAGCAGGCGTTCACCTCCTGTGTGAATGTCTCACCCTCCATGCGATCCTGTCTTCCCTGTAACAGCATAGCCCAGGGCGACCCCTCTCGGTGCAGTAGGACACAGGGATGGGTGCATGGGCTGGCTGGGACCTGCAGGGCCCCGTCCCCCCATCCCTTCACCAGAGGCTGCGTGCGGGTCCTCTGTGAGGGGGGTGATAACCCATCTTTTGGGGGGTTCAGTCACAAAATCAGTGTGTGTGGGATTTTCAAAAGCCGACACGTGTTCTGCAAAGCTGGCCTCTTGAGCTACCCGAGTGGTGTCCTCATCACGCTTCTGTGGTTAGGACCTCGAGTTGTGTCTAGCTGGTCCCAGTTGTCACCAGGACCTTAGCCTCACATTAACAGTTGAATAGACTAGTTTGCAGGGCAGGTTTAGGGTTACCAGATGGGAGCGGATACAGAGTCCTCAAGTGTTGCCTTTTTCATCCTCAAGCCAAACATTTCAACTCCAAAATGGGAAATGTCCTGAGCTCCTGCTTGATGTCACATGTGGGGAATTTCACGCCTGACCTCGTGTGCAGGTGCACGTCACACAGCCTCCGTCCCTGTACAGTCAAACCCTGGACAACACGAGCTCACTTGGCATCCCATTGGGGAGAAAGATCCTCCCAGCCTCGATACCCACAATGTCATCTTTTCCACAACACCAGTCTCCCCCGGGCAGGCACAGCTGCAAAGGGTGATGCTCCCATTCTGGAAAGATCTGAAATCCGAAACTCTGTGCTCTCAAGCATTTCAGATAAGGGGATCCTCAACCTGTTACTAACGTCTCGCATGAGTTTTACAGTGGACCCCTGATTTACGAACTCAGTTTGTTCCCAAGGTCTGGTTGTAACTCAAGTTCATCAATTGAAGCTCAGGCTCCTCTGCACAGCCTTTGAGGTCTCCCTCCTGCACACAGCAGATCTCAGTGTCCTCAGGGAGATGCTGACCCAGGACTTCTCAGTGAGCCCCACACAGGAGAGGATGCTGTCCTGCTCCTTCCAGAGCTCTAAGGGTTAGATCTGTGTCTGAGATCATCTGGAAGCACAAGCGGCTGGCATTCGGGTTGTAACTCAAGACTTTGATCATGAGTTAAACCTAAAATTCCAGTCATAACCCAAGTGGCTCGTATGTCAGGCCAGTTGTAACTCGAGGGTCCACTGTACCCTTGTTACAATTGATTAGCCAATATTGATGGGCCATTGGTCACTGGAATCTCTCATTTACCTAAGGGTTCCCTCTTTGTGTTGTCCATTCTATGTATAACAACTTATCTTTCATTATAGTATCCTATAGGATAGTGTCACTGGCCTAAAAATCAGTTGTTGTAACATTTTTGTTTGTTTGGTTTTTTCAGGCAGAGTCTCCCTTTGTAGCCCAGACTGGCCTCGAACTCTTGGTAATCCTCCTGCCTCAGCCTCCTGAGTGCTGGGATTACAGGTGTGTGCCACCACGCCTAGCTCTGATGTAGCGTTTTTGTGCAATCCCTCTCCTATTTGGATACTTCACTGTGGTCCTGGCAAAAGTTTTGAAGCCCTCTGTACTTTTCATTGCGTGTTTACCATGCTGATCATTCCGAGGATTGTTTAGGTAGCACCATGTAGAATGCAGAAATTCACATTTCCCAAAGACCTCTTAATATTAGATTTTACTATTTTAATTTTTGTTGCTAATTTGAGAGTTTTATAAGTTTATTTTAGAATAAGTTTTTATTACCAAAGCCGTGAATGCTTATTTAAAAACCCCAACGGCACATAGATTTCATTTATCCATTAAGTGCATGTTTACTGAGTGCCCACTGCTCACCAGCCCACTCTAGGCTGGGGGAGGAGGTTATTTCTCCAGGGAGCTCATGGGTGATGCAAAGATGGATTCTAAAACAGTAAGCGATAATAATGGCCACTGGTAAACAGCCGGCAGGCACAGGAAGAGGAGGGGGAACTGGAACGCTAAGTGGTAACTTCTGTCTCCCCCTTGCAGAGGAGAAAACTGAGCTACATCTGTCCAGAGGACCCCCAGGGTGGCCTCCAGGCTCGGCGGGGCGGGGCTGGTCTCTCTCTATGCCCTTCTCTCCTGTCCTCATGAGATCTGCCCGGAAGTTTTCCCCCTCCTTTGGTGGCACTGGGGTTGGAACCCAGGCTCCCTGCATGTTAGGCAAGGGCACTACCACTAACCACATTGCCAGTCCCTGCCATGGTTTGTGTAAGCCACCCGTCCCATGGATGACACAGAAAGGCTGCTTTCATTTTAATATTGCAACCACTGGACAGCACCATCCCACACACCGGAGTGTCTGGGCCTCTCTCAATTTCCTTAGAAGTTTCTGGGCGGGGTCAGGCGCACGCCTGTAATCCCAGTGCTCCTGGGAGCTTGAGGCACAAAGATGGAAACTTTGGAAAATTTGAGCCTAGCCCAGGTAACTTAGCAATTTAAGGAGACTCTGTCTCAAAATAAGTAATAAAAAGGGCTGGCGGGTAGCTCAGTGCAAAGGCCCTGGGTTCAGTCCCCAGTCCCATTAAAAATAATTTTTAAAAAACCCAGTTTAGTGAGCCTTCCGCTGAGCGCCCCTGCAGTGCCTAGGTTGTGCCCTTGGTGGTCTGTCCTCCAGGTGGGCCTGGGGCGGGAGAGTGGAGGGACAGGGCCTGGACCACAGCAGGATGGCGACCTGGAGTCCCTGGCTGCCTGTCCCTCGGGAGGGTGTGTCCTGCTCGGCTCACCCCCTCTGGACAAAGGTTAGGGTCCCCAGGTGGGCCTGACACCGGCAGGGCTGAGATGGCAAGGACTCAAGAAGAATCCGTATGCAGAGCTCTGGGGAGGAGCTGGGTCCTGCTGGGTCCTGCTGTTGGCCATGTGCCGAGGGCCAAGGGCATGGGGGCCCTGGGGCACGCTGGGAGTTCACATCCGCCCATCTCACAGGCTTTAGGGTCGGTCAGCCAGGAGGGGCCGCTTCCTCCCCACACCACCTGCACTTTGGAGGATGGAGTAGGCCCAGCATGGCAGGGACACCTGCCCTCACCACTGTCTGCCCGGATGGAGGCCTTCAGCTCTTTGAAGTGGGCAACAGCCTTTCAAAAAATTTTGAGACAGAGTTTTGCATGTTTCTAAGATATGCAACTTAAGCTTGAACTTGTCACCCTCCTGCCTCAGCTTCCCACGGCTTGGCTTCATTCTTACCCGCCCCCTTTTTTTCCATTGCTGGGGATTGAACTCGGGACCTTGTGCTCATGAGGCAGGTGCGGCACCATTGAGCTAAAGTCCCGGTCCTATTCTCTCTCTCTTTCATGTCTTTATTTTAAGGAACTGAATCAAGCAATGACAGGGCTGGAAAGTCTGAAATCTGCACGGAGGTGAGTGGCTGGAGGTTTCAGGGAGGGTTGTCTTAGTTACTTGTTGCTGAGACACAATACCCAGCCCCCAAAGTTAAAGGGGAGAAGATTGATTTGACTCATAGTCTGGTGAGGTTTCAGTTCACAATTGGCTGGCTGACCAAGCAGAGTGGCACAGGAGAAACAGTCCATGGCAGGCAAAAGACAGTGAAAGCAAGCAAGCAAGGGATCTTAACAGCGTCTCCCTGCCCCTTTATCTTCTCCAGGCTACTTAGCGTGGGCAGTGCTCACACCCTCATCCCAGTACCCTTGAGCCTAGATCTGAAAAGCCCACCGGTGACTGCATGAGGCTTTGGGGGACAGCTAGACACAAGACATAACAGGTGCTGACACTGCGGCCTGTCCGAAGGCTGAGGCAGGCAGGTCTCATGTCTCTCGAGGGGCCTCAGCCTTTCTCTTACACTTGAAAAATATTTTCACCACCACGTCTGCACCAGTGTTTGACCACACAGCTGGTCACCAATGGCCCAGCCAAGTCAGCGCATAAACTTCCCCATCAAATCAATCGCCATTAAATCAAGTTTGCCAAGTGCAGGACCGCTGAGGAGTGAGCAGGGCCAGGAGCAGCTTGGGGGAGAGGGAGGAGGGAGCAGAGCAGGAGGAGGGTGTGTCAGTCATGTTTGCTGGATCTTGTGCCGGGGATCGAACTCAGGACCTTGCGCTTGCGAGGCAGGCGGTGGCACCACTGAGCCAAACCCCCAGCCCCAGTCATGTTTACTAGAGAAACAGACATAGCACAAGGTTTACAGATAAATAAGAATTCACCAGATTGGCTCCAGTGGCCGCCCTCAGGGTTAGATGAGGAAGAGGGCAGAGTGTCTGTCTGCACCCTGGAGACCAGAGGATGCAGTCGAAGGCCTGGAGCTCACTGCAGTGTCCTGTGCGCGTCCACATCCCCCCGAGGTGTACACCGGAAGCCAAAGTCTGCGCTGGAAGCCAGGAGCTGGCGTCCCAGGTGAGGCAAAGACTGGCGCTCCTCCAAAGCTGGGAAGTAGATCCGTCCTTCCTCGTTTCCCCTTTATACCATCCCGGCCATTTTTTGGTTTTTGAGACGGGGTCTCACTATGTAGTTGCGCCTGACCTGGGACTCACTATGCAGCCCAGGCTGGTCTCGAACTCACAGTGATCCTCCTGCCTCAGCCTCCCGAGTGCTGCAATTACTTCCCGCAATTAAACAAATCAGTTAACAACCAGAGGAGGAGGAGTAGGAACAGGGTCCCATTAGGCTACTGTGGTCGTCCAGAGGTGCTTGGGCCTCCGTCCTGTGCCCCTTGCCTTGTCTTTGATGTGAGCACTGAAGGACAGGCCCTGCCCTGGGTTGGTGCATCCACACGGCCTCCTCTGAGGCTCCCGACATCTGGGGCTGCATGCACACAGCAGTTCTGGCTGAGAGCCGGTCAGGTCCTAGAGAGGATTCATTGCTGTGCGGCCAGATTTGCTTCCCCCGGCATGGGCTGCCATGAAGTTACGCTGCCTTCCTGGAGGGTGTCCCCCTTCCGCACACGCCCTCTTGTCCTTCTGCTTTCTGCCAGGCGTCGAACTTTCAGCTTCCCAAACTATCAGCCAAAATAAACACCTCTTCTTGTAAACTCCCATCCTCAGGCGTTCTGTCACAGCCACGGAAGCAGACTGCGGCGCAGGTCAGGCGCCTTCCCGCTCCAGTGCGATGTCCGGCTCCCCACCAGGCCCAGTGACTTCCTCACAGCTCTTCCGCCTTCTCCAGCCGGAGGTGCCCCTGGCGGCCTGGGGGGTTAGCAGTAAGGCACAGATGCTGGTGTGCTGGCCGCCCTGGACAGCTTGTTTGGCTGCTGTCCTGAGTGACCCAGGAGCCAGAGGGACAATCTCCCGACGTCCAAATCTGCAGAGACGAGGCCGTGGCTCTCACAGTGTGCAGAGGAGACGCTGAGTTTCTGCCTTGCTTCCCGCTGTGCTCCTAGAGGCCGCTCAGCACCTTCACAGCCACATTTCCTTTCCACCTGCAAGGGGGCTCCGGGCCGGCCGCGGGGGGCTCACCCAGGGCACAGCCGGCTCCCTGCTGGGGCCCTGAGGGTTATTTGCCTCTGCTGCCCCCGGCCCAGGTGAGCCCCGACCTCAGGCACAGGTGTAGGCGGGTGCCGGGGAGGAGCGCCCCCTTCTGGAAACTTCTCTTCGCGCACCCCCAGAGGAGAAATCCCGGCTCCTCTGAGACCCTGTTCGCCATCCCTGGGTGAGTAACTCTCCCTGCCGAGCTGGGCTCTTGACGTCCTCCCAGGAGGGGACAGCTCGGCCCGCGCTCCCTAGCCGGCGCGCCTGTCTCTACCCTGTCTGTGGTGAGGCTGCCTGCGAGGTGGTGGGAGCCCCGTTAACAGCTGCATCAAGAAAATGATATTACTGTCATCATTACTTTGTGACTCCGGGGATGGGACACAGGGCCTTGTGTGTCGAGCACACTCAGGCATCTGTTATTAATAACTTTCATCAGAGTAAATAAAGTGAAAGTCTGCTACAGAAGAGAGACTCAGCTAAGTGTCCCGTAGGCCAGCGGGGGACCCTCCGGCACGGGGGCCACATCCACCTGTTACCTCTGAAACTCTACCAGCTTCGCCGCCCCTGCCGGGGACAGATTAACTTCTTCAAGACAGTGTTTTAGTCCGCGTTGGCGGCACCCGAGGGTCGCTGGTGCATCGCACTACACAGCTTCGTTCCTTTTCTGTCCCCTCCGTCCTCTCCCTCCATCTCGTCCCCTGTGCAGCAGCCCCGTCCCTCTGACGCTCCTCCGCCCGCCCCGTGCCCCTTCCTAGAAGCCAAGAGCAGCCCACGTGCTTTCCCCATGTCCACGCCCGCCCCGGGTCCAGGATCTGGGGGTCCCGCGGGGGTTACTGCCGGAAACATCTGTCATTTCTGTAACCAGATGTTCCTCTTCTGATGTGGCACTTTCTAAAATCATGCTGAAGGGAGAGGAAAAATGAACAAATCTAACCCAACCAGACTAAACCAATGCTTGGGTGCCCCGCTTCTGCTGTGAGGACCTAGGAGCTACCTACGGTCTTCAGGGCCACCGATACCTGCATCCCCAGGCTGCCGTGCGGCTCAGACGAGCAAACGTCCACCAAATCGTCTGACCGGTAGAAGTGGCTGGGGAAGGCGCTCTGATTATCATTCCGGTCTCCTCTGATACTGCAGCTCGTGTACTTTTAGGAAGGTTTGTTTTATGTTGCGCAGAAATGGGCTTCCTTGTGACTTTTATCCCCAATGGGCCCAGTCTTCGTTTTCGGAGAGGAAGAGAGTCGGTGTTAGTCCCAGAGCGTTCCCCTCCGCCATCCGGGTACCGCACTGTTTGCACACCCGGGACCATTGTAGCTGGTTATTTCCAGAAGGGAAGAGAATATTCTACACAGCTGTGTTGCTGGCTTTTCAAGATTCTCAATGGCAGAGCCCTTTTCTGCTGCTTCTGTCTTTTCTATTGGATTTTTTTTTTTTAGACAGGGTCTCACTATGTACTTCAGGGTGGTCTTGAGCTCACAGCGTAGTCCGAGCTAGTTTTGGACTCAGCAGTGATCCTCCTGCCTCAGCCTCCTGAGCATTAGGATTATAGGCGTGCACCACCACGCCTGGCTTCTTCGGGTGGAATTTGATCAGTGGCTGGTGCAGTCATCTGTCTCTCTCAGAGGAATAACACATCATCGGCAAGGGTGATAACTGTTCCCAGATGGGTGAGCCGACCCTGGGAGAGACTGACCAGTATTTATGAATTTTGTCACCAGGTCATTGAACGGTTCACAGCTTTGAAACCAGCCACGGAAGGGCTATTTGTGCCGTGGATCTGGCCAGTGCTGCAGACCAGGCATTTGTTTTCTTTCCAGAGAGCTGGTTTACTGACACCCACTGCTTCGGGTGAGAAAAACTCACTGCCATTTATTCCTGGAGAAAAATAACAAGAAACAAGTTGCCCTAGTCTTAGGCAAAGCCTGAGATTCAACTACGCTTTGGTTCCTGGAATATCTGTTTTCTCAAGAAAGAAGAGAGGGTCCGGGATTTGGCTCAGTGGTTCCGCCACCTGCCTTGCAAGCACAAGGTCCCGAGTTTGATCCCTGGTACCAAACACAAACAAGAAAGAAGAATAAGTGATAATAATAAACAATGATAGAACTCTGGCTTAAGGGTGGGCACCTGGAAGTAATCATAAAGTTTGCAGGCCATGCTCAGGTGTGAATACGACCTGTCCTGCCCCTCTTACTCTTGGAAGTGGGGCTGGAAATTTGGTCGAGAGAACAGAAAACTTAGACGCTCTTAGAGTCCGGCCACAGGTTCCCTGCCGTCCTGTAGCTGCCCAGGTGCCTTAGGGAGACGCAGCGGCACTCGAGCAGGTCTTGTGAAAAGAGCTTGCCGCCGGGGGAGACGACGCAAACCCTCACCCCAGCGCACGGTCCACACGGCCAGCCCCAGGGCCAGCGCAGGGTCTTGGGAGGAGACCGGAGATGTGCGCTGCGGCGCCCGGCTCTTCCTGGCCAGAGAACAGTTCTCCGTGCAGAGCCCCCGAGCTAACGGCAGGCAGAACACGCAGTTCCTGTTTTCAGTCAGCCCTAACCGAGCCCCCCGAATTGCCGTGGGCCACTTGGCTGAGGCTTTTTTGGAAAATACTGGGTGCTGCACTAACCCACCAAAGCCACAGAACGTAGACCTGGCGGCAGTGTCTCCGTGTGGACGCCCGGCACCTGCAAGCCCAGCGGTGCGGGCGGAAACGACGCAGCCGCCCCTCCCGCGCCACCTCTGTCGTCTTGGGGACGCCAAGGTCTGGACGGCAGCCAGCTGCTGACTGTGCTTTCAAAAAGTTGTACTTGTTGGGGCCGGGGATTTAGCTCAGCGGTGCTGCCACCTGCCTTGCAAGTACAAGGTCCTGAGTTAGGTCCCCGGTACCACCCCCCCAAAAGAAAGTTTTTTTAAACTTGTTTGCCTTTAATTTTATTAGTTCGTGTTTGCATTCCACAATAAGCACATTCATCATGTGGAATCGGTGCACACACAACACACCCACACTCTTTCTGTCCCCTTTCCCTCCCCGCTCTGTCTCTTGGGCCCCTTTCTATTGTGAAAGACGTGCCTCCTTACTTCCTGCAATCTTTTCATTTTGCTCTTTAATTTACTCACACTTTGGATTCCTCATATGAGGAAGCCATGTGATATTTAAGCTGGTTTATTTCACTTCACATTATGGTCTCAAGGTGCAACCCTTTTCCCACAGATGACTCACGTGCATCCTTCTTCACGGCAGAGTAGTACTCCACGGGGTATAAATAAATACCACGTTTGCTTTATCCATTCATCTGCTGATGGGCACGGAGGCGGCTTCCAAGATTTAGCTTTTTATGAGTTGCACTGCTATAAACATGGTTGTGCATGGGTCACTAATATGGTGTCTTTACCTTCTCAGGAAGATACCTGAAAGGGGAGCAGCGGACTCGAATGGAATTTCTAGCTTTAGCTCTTCGAGACCTCCCCGCGCTGACGTCCACGGTGGCGGCACGAGTTCACATTCCCACCAACGGCACGGCAGGCTCCTTTCCGCGGCCTGCGCGCACCTGTTATTAGCAGATTCTGGTGATGGCCACTGTTCCGGGAGGGATGGGCTCAGCTCTGCGAGTCAGGCAGCATTGCGCTCTGGCTGAAGGGGCACCGCGAGTCCTCAGGGGGGCGCTCGAGCGAGGACAGTGGGCGCCGCCCCTCTTTCAGCCCTGGCGTCTGCGCCAGGCCCAGCGGGCCGCCCTCTCCTGGGCAGTGCCTTTCTTTCTTTGCATCTCTGTGTGCCGTAGAGGGTGTTTTCTGATCGTCTGATTCCCGATCCCCCACAGAACCGTGGGGAGGAGCTGTGGCTGGAAGCTGCGGTGAAAGAAGACCTTGGCCACCCACGGCCAAGCTAAGAATAAAACCCTAGGGCCGGGGATGTAGCTCAGGGGTACTGCGCCTGCCTTGCAAGGTCCTGAGTTCCCCGCCACGACTACCTTCGCAGCTGACCGTACACACTGCCAAGAGGGTTTGGGTCCCGGCCCTCACTCACACATGGCTGTGCGGCCGTGCCTGCCCAGTTCCTTTATTTCCTGTTCTTTCATTGTGTGTGTGTGTGTGTGTGTGTGTGTGTGCGTGTGCGTGTGTGTGTGTGTAGCTTGGAGATTTTCACCCTAACTTCACAATAGTCACAGAGATCACGCTCAAATGCGGAGTTCTAGGCCACACATCTGGAGATGGAGCGACCTACATTTGTGGGCCAAGGGATTTTCCTCTTTTTTTTTTTTTTTAAACGCAATCTCACTAGTCCAGGCTGGCCTTGAATTCACTATGGGCTGATCCTCCTGCCTCAGCCTCCTGAGGGCTGGGCTTAGAGGTGTGTGCCACTACACCCACTGTATCAGTTAATCTGCTTTTTACTTTTTGGTACTAGGGATCAAACTCAGGCCCTTGCGCTCTCGAGGCAGGCAGCAGCACCTCTGAGCCAAATCCCCAGCCCTACCAATCTGCTTTTTCTTTCTGAGTTTATCGGTACATTCTAGGTACACAGTACAGTTACGGTCATCATTGGGATCTTGTGCCTTTCCATGACAGGTCCTGGTTCTCATTTTTCCCCATACCCCTGCCCTCCTTTCCAATCTGCTCTTTAAACATGGATCCCAGTGGCTTGGGTGGAGGTGACATGCAGGCCTCACCTGGTGCTGGGCCCCAGAGCACTGAGCTGCAGCACAGGCACGATGCAGCCTCGAGTGAGCCCCCCACCACCTGTAAAACGCAGGTTGGGTTGCTTTAGTTGCAGGTAACAAACATCTAAGTCCGGCTTTAACAACACAAGGCTTCCTTGGCCTTGCAAACAGTTTAGGGTCCTGGGTCTGGGGCAGGGAGGGGCATAGTCAGGGCTTCCAGCCAGAGGTGTGGAGCTCCCTCCACTCCCTGCACCGCCGGGGCCAGATCCCTGCACCCCCGGGGGCTGAATGCCATCCCCAGCCCGCATGCTCCTGTCCTCACCCTGGCTCTGCCTGTCACCGCGCTGGGGGCAGGGTCTCTAGAGAGGTGAGTCAGCTCGCTGAGGCAGGAGGACTGCAAGTTTGAGCCTAGCTGGGGTTACTTAGCGTCTTAAGTTTCTCTGTTTCAAAATGTTTAAAAAGGGAAAGGGGCTGAGGCTGTAGCTCATGGAGGATACAGTGAAGAGATGCTGCAGGGAAACCAAGTCAGGACAAGCAGAGATGTTAAGTCCTTTCACAGAAAAGCACCTTTCCAGGTCTAAGCAGGAAAGAGCTCATTTTCACCAAGGTGCTTTGGGCTGTGAGCTATGGAGACTCCCAGAAAAAAGGGCTCAAGTAGAAAAAAAAAAATCACACTGTAAATTCCAGAGGCAGCACTTTCTGGGCTCCAGTGGCTCAGAGATATCAAGTCCAGGGTCCCCTCCCTCTTTGTTCTTGGATATCTCTCTGGCATGGCTGCTGCTTCTTGGGCTTGTCCTCTGGTTGAAATATGGCTGCTGCAGCCCCAGCCATCACTTCAACACACAGCCTGTTTGGAGGCAGACCCACTTCTTCCCACATGACCCTCTTTATCTGAGAGAACACTTTTCCAGAGCAGCTCATGGTCCCAGCATTCTGGGGTTCCAAGATAGCCTTCTGGACATTTCTAAAGGTTCTGTGTCCCTAGCCTGGGAGGAGTCCACAGGCTCAGGTTTTTATCTGCTCTCCCTCCTCCCAGCCTGGGTCCTGGTCACACCAGGTGGTCGGTGCCCAGTTCCTCTGTCTCCATCGTGCTGGTCACCCTGGGAAGGAATCCTTCCACCCAGGGGACACTCACAGACTTCCTTGCTGATTTCTGGAGGGCTGAGGCTGTCAGCGAGTCATGTGAGATACAGAGACACAGACGAAGCCCGACTTGGTGTCACCGTGGGGAGAGACCTGGCTGTCCAGAGGGACAGTCAGCGTGGGTCACAGACCTGGGCGCGGCTGGACTATGCTCCCTGGGGTGCCATGGGGTGGGGTGATTTCAGGCAGCATTTGTCCTTCCCAGGGAGCCAATCAGAAAGGTGCAATTCTGGGCCAATTGGAAACTTGCTATTCTCAACCCTTCGTTTGCTGTTCACAGAACCAATCAGAAGATGCTCTTTCCAGCCCTTCATTTGCATGTGGGAATGGCCAATGGAAAGACACTGTTCCTCATCCTTCATTTTCATAGGCAGGAAGCCAAGGAACTGTTTGATAGGACAGTTTACCCGGGGTGTGATGCCAAGTGTGTGTTTGACGGGACGGGACGACTGCCCAATGTCTTATGTGCACGGCAGGGAGCTAACTCAGGAATTCCGGATAAGAAGGACCCCTTCGCCTACCCTCAGGCCGCGGTGAGCCTTTTCACCATCTGCTCTTGCCCTGCAGAGCGCACTGTTTCCCACCTTCAGTAACGTTTGCCCTTGCTGCCTTTTCTGTGTGTCCTGTCCAGTTCTCCGTTGGGAACCCCAAGGGCCTGGAGGGGAGACCCAGGGACCCCGCAGGTAGTGACATGGAGAGAGGGGCCAGGGCCCATCCCCTGCCAAGCCTGTCAGACTCCACATTGTCCCGGGAGCCCGAGGTTTCTAAACTCAATCTGGGCTTTCCAGGCTGTGATGAGACGCATTTATCAAGCTAGGGGGTCAGATCATGGGGTAGCAGTTTGCGAACTTAATTACAACCTTGCAGTGCTTTTAGCATGTGGTTTGTGGGCCTGACCAGCAAGGGGGTGGCCTGGCAGGGGCGCGCCCCAACTGCGGACCTGGTGGTTTGTATTTATATTACCTCCGATTGCTCTCACTCAACTTCTGAAAGAACCGCAGACTGGAGCACGAGTCCTCCCAGGACGGCGTCCGAGGCTCTGCAGCAAGTGGATCGTGCAAGAGCCCAGGGCTGAGATTCTTTCCTGGAGGAAAATCCACGGGGACACAGACAGGGCTGCAGAGGTGTGAGGCGGGGCCCTTTTCCTCGTGCAGACCCATCTCCGCCTGTCCTGAGCATCCATGGCGGCTGTCTCCCCAGTACAGACTCCTTGCTTCCTCCCTTCTTCGTCCATCTCTTTCTCTCTCTTTCCTTCTTTTGTGACACTGATAGAACCCAAGGCCACTCTCCAACTACACTACATCCCCAGCCCTTTTCATTATTTTAATGACAGGGTTAAACTACTTTCGAGCCTCCAGCTTCAGCCTCCCGAGTAGCTGGGATTCCGCAGATCACATACATTCCTGTGCGTCTTACAGGCCGTCTCTGGAAAATGCCACCTCCTAGCGAATGCTGGACGAGCGGCAAGAAAGCACTAGAGACCTCTGAACCCTGTCCTGGCGCTTGCAACGGGGCGGGCCAGGCTCTGCGGCTGATGGGGCATCCTGGGGCCTGGCTCCTGCAGGAGGGCGGGGGCAGAGCTGAGCAAACGCAGGGCCCGGGGAGGGGAGGCAGCCAGAGCCCTGGCGTCCAAGGGCCTGGGGGGTTATTCTAGAGCTGCGCTTGGCAGATGCCTTCTCTTTTAATGATTCAGCTCTGCCACTGTTGCCTGGAGGCAGCCCTAGAGTATCTGAAAGTGAGTGGGTAAAAGGACATGGTGGTTGCTATGGTTGTGGTGAGACAGAGCCTCATGGCACAAGAGCACAAAGTGAGGTAAAGATGCTCACATCATGGGTAGAGGAAGTGAAAACAGGAAGGAAGGGTGGGTCCTAATAGTCCCCTCAAGAACACACCCCCAGTGACATCACTTCCTTTCACGAGGCCCCACC